TTTTTATTCAGATTTATGAATAATATATTTAGTTTTTTTGTATAGAAAATTAATTGCATATTAAAATAAGTTATATTTTAATTTTTATTTTTCCTTTAAAATTTTGGTCGGTTCATCTTTACTGTATATTGCCATGTAACGTTGGGGTGGCCTGTCAACTAAATAAATCAAAACTATATGTAGTTACTAATAATTAAGTTTACTGAAATTTTTTTTGATCAGTAAGATTAATCAGCGACATATTTATATATAAATATATATAAAATTGGCGCAACTTTTTAGATGCACGGATTGCAATTTTCTTTTTTAGCAAAAGGTTTTAACACCAATCGACTTATTCTTGCTTTAGTAACAAGGTTATAGAGCTGCTTTTACATTACATATAGAAAACAAAAACTTTTTCAACTTTATTTTATCTATATTTGTTGTTTGAATAATCTAGGCGAAATTTAAGCTTCTGATAAAATTTTTTTAACTAAATATAAAATTTTGTTCTGTAACTTGTTTTGAAGAGGAATTCTATCAATCTATACAAAATTTGAGCTTCTAATTTTTAGCCGTAAAGGCTCTGTATCTAAATCATTATTGGAAAAATTTCATAACAAATTTTTATATGATACTATATATAGTTTTGATTTAATTAGTTGACAGGCCACCCCAATGACTCATGACTTCAAATCGTCAGTAAAGATTTGTCCAATACTAATACATGGGAAAATGGCGATTACCAACATCATTGGTGATCATGTAATATTATGTTAAAAAATTTCTCATACCTGATAATGCCGTCATGAAATGTAATCTTTATGGGATCTAATAGGCCAAATCTAATAATTGGTGATAGCGTGCGAAAAGTAGTAATTTTTGCATATATTTTATAGCATGCATAAAAAATTGTGATTTTATATATGACGCCATCATTTTTATAGCACGCGCAAAATCTGTAATCTCGCATATAAAACTTACTAAAAATGAAATAGTAATTTTGGTCGCATAATGATAAGATGAAAATCATGTCTGTTTTAGTAATTATGTAATTATTAAATTATAAATCCAATGAGAAAAAATTTGTTCCACAATTTTTATGGTATAAGTGAACATATCCGTATAGTACAGGCCAACTGATAAACTATACTGATCCGGCAATGATATATATGTACATATTAGGGTCAGAAATTATAGCGATAGCTAATTAATCGGTACAGTATGATGTAGTTTTTAAAAAAATTGTGACTATACTATACAGATCTACTCACTAATGTCGATTCGCTTTGAGTTAACAAAAGTCAACAGAACAAAAAAAGTGTTAAGCAAGGTAATTTACCCTGTGAAAATAGCAACGGGAACAAGACTAATCCCGCATAATCAAGATTACGGGATGAGTATGATTCTAATGGCCTTCCGTATATAGTAATTCTGTCTTAATAATGGATACTGTAAGAAAAGGCTGATTCTGAGGAAAGCGCAGTTTTGACTCCACATTATCCATCGCGACCCAACCCTCTCTCACAAAGAAATCTGCTATTTTATTATATAAATATCACATGGCCATGTTTATAGCCCATCATTAAGAGTGACAATCTAGCATTTTATTAGTTTTGGGTACATATTGTTAGTAAATTGTTACCCAGCGTGATGTAGGTGGGGAATAGTTTTCGAGAAAATGAGACGTAACCTATTTGACATATATTAAATAATTTGTTGACACAAGTAATGCAATAGGGGCGCCGGTGGCGCCCCACTTCGCTTGTATAATATAATATTAAAATTGACCAAAGATAGTTCACGATCAAATTCACAGAACTGATTTTTGTGAATAATGCTGGGAAAATAAAGTGATCAGAAAGTGCAGGTTAAATGATACATTTTACAGCCGATGTGTGAACTTATTTGTTAAATCAATTCGCGCTGCGGCTGTTGAGTGTGACATGTAGTGATGGGATCCAGCGCGTGATTTGTCTGGTGCGTGGGAATTTTTTAAAATTCGTTCAATACCATAATTCCGGCTTAAATTTACAGAAATTCCGGTAACCTATCCCGCGGATCATGCGGTGATCCGCGCGGATACGCGGGATTTTTGAAAAATTGCGATTTGCCCATCACTAGTGGCATGTGCCTCGAGTCTTCTGGACTGATTAGAATAAAGAGTTTCATCCAAATATTTTAGCGAACAAGTTTGTTCGCTAAACTGGACGGTTTAAAGGATAATCACTCACTGAAGTATAGCATACATTAAATGATTAGCAATAAGTTAGTACAAATCAACATCTAAAAATACAGTGCTAATAATGAAGTAAATATTTTAAATTACCGTATTCCTCCGAAAATAAGCACCCCTTTTTTGCTATAAGGTTGCTTATTTTCGGGTATAATCTCATCTAATAATTTGGATGACTTGAGATTTTGTTGCTTATGTCTATTATATAAGAGGTGCTAATTTTCGGGTATATATGAATTGTGGGGGTGCTTATTTTCGGAGGAATACGGTATTAAATAACTAATTTAGTGTTAATGGCATATACCGGTAGTGCTTTATACTAGGAACCGGAAACCGGTTTAAGTCCGGAGCTAAAAACTTTAATGTTTGAAAATTTTGATCATTCATGTTGCAGATTAAATTCTTCAGGAGCGTTACAGATGGAAAAATCACAAAACTACATTCTTGATATTTCAATTATAAATGCATTAAAATCGTAACGTCGGCCATCACAACACATAGAAATGTGAGTCCTCCGCTTCGATCCGGACAATTACTTATATTTGGCGAATTATTGTAAATTATAAAATTTCAAAATATAGTAAAATGACCACGTTTCAGTTAGATCGACATTGCTATCCGTTACGAATTTTCCCTGCAGCTCCATTGAGAATAAAATAAGAAGACATCATTGAATTGAGCCTATTTTGTAATTATATATATATATATGCATTTTGAATGGACCTCCGTTTAATGTAATGTAAAAATTGCAACTTTTAATACAAAGAAAATGGCGCTTTAAAACTGTCAAATCTCACATGCAGAATTTTTTTCTGCTGTATGATCATTGTTTTAAAGGACAAAACTAACAATATGATATATAGACTCTTTTTGTGCTCGGTATGCATAATGTGTATATTAGAATTCCGTATTCACGTTTTTAGATTTTTTTTTTTCGGAAAACTTAAACTTACAAAAAATTTTGGCGTTCAGCAGTACTGTACATGGCGCATTCATAGTAGCGTCACACGATGATCAGTGTCATGATTTTTTTTCATGCAGTTGTATGCAGATTATGTATGCAATGACAGTGGACGGAAAATTGCCGGATTCAGTATTGGTCAAATTATTGTAACAATTGTTAGAAAATCGTAAAAAAAAAAAAGGAAAAATCGAATTGTACAATGATACCAGACGTACAGTATGTACTATGCGTACGTACGTACGTACGTGCGTGTATGCAAAAGAAATTCAGGTGTAGTGTAAGCAGCACATCTCTAATTGTGCACGAATATTAGCAATTTTAACATTGTCGTACATTAAAAAACTCATTTAATATTTATTAAGTCATTGTAAAATTTATATAGTTAGGACTTGATATAATTGTTGCGTCTGGGGTAGCTATCTATATGATGCAGCCAATTTAGATATTTAAAGTAACACCCGACAATAATTAACGCATTAAAGTTCTAATTTTAGAACTAAATTTCATTCAAATTCATTCAGATATCTAACTACTCTAGATTTCGTAGATTAAAGTAGTTTCAATGATTCAAATTATGGTAAGTCATAGAGGTTAAAAAATTGCCTAAATTAAGTTTTTAAAAAACAAGAGATTATCCCTATCCCTTTCTAGTATATAAATTTCTGATATTTTTAAAGCTCTAAAATAAAATTTTGTCTCTTACTCCAAAAGTATTACGTACTAAATGTCAGCAACTTAATCACTAATACAGAATTTATAAATTCGTAAAATATGTTCTAAATATTTATAACGTACTCAATTTACTACTAATCAAGTTAAAGGTCTGGACCTTATTAAAATAAAATTCGAAATTTATTATTGAAAATTGTAATTTTTTTTTAAAAAAGTTCCGTTTATTTTCATATAATGCAATCTTGACTTAGGCATCAGCTGGTCTAATTAGGTTATAATTAAGGGATGTAAGTATGATTTAGGCTAATCAGTGCAGATCAGTTAATGCCAGCTTAACAGCCAATACGTATTTGAAGTTCCTTTTATGCCACTTGAAGCAAATTGACATTCAAGGCACAGCACATATAATGCAAAAATAACAATAAAAAAAAAATGGTTCATTAGTTTATGACAAAATAATTTGTAATATTCATGAATGATATCTTGCTCAAATTTCAATTAGACAAAATGAAATAAGTAAAATCATATTCGAAATTCAATTGTTCTATGTCGTGACAAAATTCTTAAAATTTAATATACATATATCAATTTGTAATTTTCTTAAACAGAAATGCGGTACACTGTAAGACTTATATTGCAGCTAGTTATGGCGTTACTTTACAGCATAAACCGTAACATTTTCGTACCATTTTCTACTGCACCTCTGGTTCGGTAAAAGTATCACATGTGATATTAACATAAATGCCGTGATTTATTTAATCACACTAAATCAAATAATTTCTGATATTGATGCAGACTTTTGATATTACTTAGTTACGTTCTGCAAAAACCGGTTTATAAAATCACCAGCGTTGATAAATCTGTATCAATAGTCTCTGTATGTGTTTATAAAAAAGTTTCGTAGAATCTGCGTGATAAGAATTCAAAATAAATTTGTGTAATCTTTCTTTTACCTCGCCTGTTTTGTTAAAATTGTTTCTGTCTTCTGCAACATGGTACAAGAATGGTTTTAAATGATTTGATTAAACGAAGCATTTGGTCGGCTAACTAATGCATCAGGCGCCCAAGTTGCAAATTTCAATTAGATATCAACTTCAAGCACAACATAATAACTTCAATTTTCTTCTATTTTCCGAATATTCTCAAATGGGCGAATTAGTTGGAACCACTGGTACTATTTAAACAATTATTGTTTAAACACTAAAAATCTATAAAAAATCTAGCCTTTTACCTCTTTTTTACTGCAAATTATTATTATTTTTTTTAATCAAGTTATTAAAATTATGGATCTATCTACGGGTCAAACTATTTACCCTCAACCACAAAATCATAACGGTCAGCCACAAAGACCCCAAAATTTTGGTACAGGACTAAATGCCCAAAACGCTGAGAATTCATTCACCGGCACTATATTAAACATTCAACAATATAATGATCTCGTTGGAGGCACAGTTCCATTTGCTAGAACACAAAGAACGCACGGTGGACAAATTTCACCACAAAGTGACCAATTTCCGGTGCAGTTATTTTTAGGGGTCTCTTTTTTATATGAATAAGGTTATGCATAAATATACTTTAGCTGTACTTATACAATGAACGGTTCACGTTTTTTTATAGCTTGATAAGTTGATCATTCTAAATATAAAGAGTATGTAGTTAAATTTCCAATTTTTTGTACCATGCAATTTTATAAAAAAACTTCTTCAAAACACAGACATAACTATTTTATTATATATTTTGCGTTATTGAACTTGTATTACTGTTTTTTTTTATCGTAAATACCAGATACTTTCTTTTAAATTTAACGCCTTTGATCTTATATTGTATATAATTGAATTATTTATGTTCTAACTAGACTCCACATATTAATAAATGTCGCAGCTAAAGTTGAAATTTGACTTATTATAATATGAAAATTTAAAATTTTTGGAAAACATTTTTTTTTGTTTTTCGTAGTTAGGCATTTGGGCTAATTTTGATTGTGATCTAAATAGCAGAACTGATTATTTATAAATCTGGTCAAATTTGTTGATCGTTTGGTCAAGTTCAACATATGGGCGGATGTTAGGGTTGTGTTACATAAATTACAATTTTACATTACACGCAGGGTTGTAAATGTAAACTTACCGATAGTAAGTTACTGGTAAATTACCGTAAGTTTCCAAATTACTGCGGAGTTAAGCTTAATTTTGGCTGGCATTAACTTTACATGTATAGTCAACTTTTCTATTAAATCTTGGCTAATCATATGTATAATCTTTGGCCGATCATATGTATAATCTTGGCCGATCATATGTATAATCTTGGCCAATTAAAATTATTTGTCATGGTAATTTACCATGGTAATTTACTATAATTTTTAGTAACTTACCATAAATTACGGTAATTTTACAACCCTGATTACACGTAATTTTACGTAAGTTTCAGAAAATCGAATTTCATGTAATTTTCACACGGCATAAAATTTCGGCAGCATTATTGCATTATTTGATTTGAATGTACGATCCAAATTGCAACTCCTAAAACACCGAAAAGTTGATCTCAGAAACTAAATATCATGTGTTCAAAATTACAAATACATGAAATTTCAATTTACCCTACATGTGATTAAAATTACATTTCCATGTAAATCCAATTTACCGAATCTTACGAAAAATTA